TTGGTGACAATGGTTGGCCAAAATATCAAATCCATGGCATAAAATGTGTGGATAGTGCATGGATTTCCATTCTATCTTGCGGAACACAAACTGTAACTGAACGAATGTTTGATGTGCTGAAAATGCGCTTGGATAAGTCCTGCATGGGTAGACGCGTTATCTGCAATTACCTGAAAAAAATCATTTTGAATCCGGCCGGATCCATTAATACAGAGCCTGCTGTCCTGTTTCCATTACCAAATGCAAAATCCCGCATTTCATTCGGAAATGGGTTTGTTATTTACAGTTTCACTGACAAAAAAGTAACCCTAAAAAAAGACATTTAGGCAACAGAAAAAGCAAAGGATGACATTGTCGGCACCGTCTGTAATTAATCCGAATTTCTTCCATATATCGGACTCCATCTTCAATCGTAAGACAAGCGCAAACCAGTTCTTTCCACTGGATATTATTAAAGGGGTTATGATACGTAATCAAAATTGCATTAAAAGTTTCTTTCTTGTTAGCTGTTTTTCTCACTTATTCTAATTTCTCTTGCTCGTTCCTCGACAGCGAGTAATTCTTGATTTATTTATTTTTACTGGCGATCCTGAATTAAAACCTTTATTTCGTTTACTTGTTTTATGCTTAAGTTGTAATGTAATGTGAAGTTCAACTGTGGCCCAAAGGATTCACTGTGATGATAAGTAACATCTGGATATGATTAAAATTATTTTGAGCAATATTTCAAAAATATTTTCATTATATTTTTGGAGATCACTTTTATCAGGTTTCCTTTAAGCAATGGTTTGCTCGCGCGCTTTTACTAAGCGCACGAGCAGCTCTCATTCTGCTGCTGCAAAGAGTTTTTTTTTTTTTTCTCTCTGCTGCTCAGAAAATCCGCCCTGATAATTACTGTTCGCCAAGATACTAGTCCCCCTAGCTTTTAAACGGGATGGGAGATGACACTCTGATTGGTTTATTCCATGTTTTGCCCAAAACACGCCGATGATTAATTAAGAGATTAAATCCAACCCCTTTGCACTGAGCGCCTTACTATGGGCCCAGATAACCTGCCATTTAACTAGCAAAAATGGATTTGGACTTGTCCTAAATGCACTTGCGCCACACGTTTCAGACCGAGCGCTTAGATCAGTGGTTCCCAACCCAGTCCTCAAGGACCCCCTGCCCTGCAGGTTTTTGCTCTCTTTCAACTCTTTCACACCTGATCCATTCAAGGGCTTCATGCTGATCGGTTGAAAACCATCTACCTGAACAGATTGTGCATGAAGGTGCATTGGGTCTTAAATGGATAAGGTGTGCAACAGTAAAGCTGCAACAAGAACCTGCCGGACAGGGGGTCCTTGAGGACTGGGTTGGGAACCACTGGCTTAGATCATTAAAATAGGGTCCTTAGTCTCTTTGCTCTCATAGTAACAGTGTTATAATTTTTTTCCTAAACCTTTGATGATTGGATAATATTGCATGAGTGTGTACATAGTTCTTACCCTGTTCACGGACTTGAGATTCCAACTTTTTGGCTAGGGCTGAAAGTTTAGAGACTGGTTGGTTCTTATTCAGTACTGTTGGATCTCCACCTATTAATAAGGGTAAAACATATGCAGCCTTCCAGACCATTGAGATTTTATTTGAAACCACAGAGTGATGAGAAACCAAAGCAACATAATTGCTTGGACATATACAGAACTGTGCAAAAGTCTTAGGCACCCTACATTTTTAAAACTTTAAATCTTGCTTTAGATGTTGACTTTTTGTTTTTCTAATTGGTGTTGCTGAAGATAAAAAGTACATTTGAAACTCCAAATGCTGATTTAAAACATAGTTTTAGAAATAAATGTTTGTATTTCATTAAAAATAATTAATTCAGATTATACAGTCTCGACAGAGCCCCGATGTCAACATCATCATGGCTGTCTGCAAATACTTGGAGGGACAGACGCAAGTCAGTCTGTCAGTGTGCGGAGGAACGGTAGAAAGTTTTCCACTCTGCTTGGAACAAGAGAAAAAGCCAATCATCTTATAAACCTATAGCACAACAGGACAGTGTCCCAAAATTTTAGGCGACGCATAGTCGCACCAAATATTGGTTTGATTTCGTATTTCACTGTTTACAGCTCTGCATTATTCATTTCCCAGTCATTAGAAACTTTTAATTTCATTATTTTGGTAAGCATATTTGCCCGGCAAAATTGCTTTAAATGTGCCTTAAGACTTATGCACAGTACTGTATGTGTCCTAAGTACGGACATAGCTCTGCGAAGAATGAAGGACATTCAAGAATAATCATGAAATGAGAATGGTTAAGCAATTCCAACTATGCGATTGTAGCTTAAGCTCCAACAAAAGCATTCTCTCCACAAGACTTTCAAGTCAAATATAGTGATTATTATAGCATAAAAAGGAATCAGTTGTACCCAGGACAAAAACTGTGAGCCAGCCTCCCAAATATTCAAATTACTTATCCTGAAACTATCATCCGACCGAGGATAAGTGGCAATACTGTCTTTTGCAGAATAAGTGCATTTCTTTGGCAGCTTTCTCTCAATACCAAGCATATTACCTGAAAAATGTTCCTAAAGTTCATTCTCTCTAAATGTGATGGGTCCTAAGCTTGGATTTTCTTTTTCAATGCAGAAAGAGCAGCCATAGTTTTTTTCTTAGAGATGGAGTGTGTTCCTCCTGTTGCTGTGATTGGCTGTTCAGGGGTTAGAACATCCTGATGGTCAATGATGAGAGAGTCTGGTGGGTCTGGAAATATGTATGATGGGGATGGTCCGTGTGGTTGAGAGAAATTTACTTCTACTTCATGCCTCTCTGGACTATATTGCTTGATACATGCTGCCCACCGTTGGATGTAATAAACCGCTGTCGTTCTGTAACCACTCAGGGCTGAACCACGGTAATCACTCATCTCAGCAATGAGATTTTCTTTTCTCAGGTGATGATGAAAAAGATCGAACAGTGACCACTTCCTTAGAGACTGGAATGAAAGAATGACATTTTTGTGTGCCTGGAATTGTGCGTGCCTTTTCACATCTCTCTTTGAGTAGTTCAGCCTCTTGCTCATACTGTTCTTTTGGTGTGAACTGGCAGTTTACATTGTCTATCAGTGAATCTGTGAATTCAAAAAGTTGACGAGGTGTGAGGATCTGTTGATCATATGGGTGTTGCAGACTGGCCCTGGCCGCTAAGTTCTTTATTGTTACCCCAATGCCATCAGATGGTCCTTTCCCATGTGCTGGGGGGAAAAAATGCCATTCGGCTGGGACACCAAAGTCATCTTCATGGAGGCACAAATTGGCAAAGTTTTTTCTGTGCATATACTGGGCAGCGCAATCTTGTCTGTTTATCCCATGGCGGGAGTTATTCTTATTGCGCTGAAAATTATTGTGATAAATGCATCGCCAAGCCCTAGGAGGGAAGGAAGACCTGGTTGAGACAATATTTTGTTGCACATATTCTGGTATATTTTTTTTGATGGGCCCAGAACAGGAATATTTATCAGTGTCTGCTGTTTTTCGGGGTGCCGTAGCTGCTCTGCCCAACTGTGGTATATGGAAGCCGGAATATACATTTATATATAAATTTTTTTCCCAAAGAAACTGAAGCCGGGAAATTTATTCATAAAATCTTCCTAATTCCCACCAACTCAAATTACATGGGCTTCCCCTGAGGCCCAGTTGAAAATAAGCAATCTGATTTGATTGTACGCAGTGTAATGTGTGCACTGCCTTATGAACAGAGCATTTTTGAATGGGTACATCATATATTCTCAGTAACGAATGCTCAGCAACACCTGATATAAATGCATAATAAATCAGTAAACAACAGTGAAATGTGCATTTACTTGTCCGGACCATTACAGGGAACAATTAGACATCCATGAGTGACTGACACAGTTGTGACGCAGATCGTTGAGATGAATAAGCGTCGCTCAGAATGCATGGGGGTGGGTTGACCAGTTTCCCGCAAGACTGTTCCTACCCCTCAGTAGTGAGTATGATGCCCACCGGCCCGTTGAACCACATGTCTTTCGGTTACGTCGTGATGACATTACGATGAAGTGATCTTCATGTGCCATTGTTTTGCGTGGTCTACTGTGGCAAGGTTGGTCTTTAATGGTCCCAGTGTGTGCCATACGTGTCTGAAGACGTGAAATGGTGCTGTGGTGGACATTAAAATGCTGCCCAACTTGTCGCAAGCTCATTGCTGCCCTTAAGATGCCAATAGCTTCATGTCTGGCATTTTCAGACATTCCTCTACAATGCCCCATGTTTTAGATTTCTTGCTTTGTTTTTCGTTCAACAAAGAGCATCCCAAATGTGTCAACCAGTTTTTACAGGGATTCGAGTGGCAGGATTCATGTGGGCCAGGAATTGTACAAAATCATGTGCAAAGCACGCAATGAATATGACCAGAATTCAGTCTAACTTAGTGTGTTGATGTGATATGTTCTGTTCAGGAAGACTAAATAGTCTGGCAATTCATTATATTTTCTTTTTTTCAACGATGCTTAAAATTTGGGCGTAGCTAAATATTTGTTGCTGAGTATATAATTGTGTATCTCTCAGAAACTGTGGGAGTGGCCAACAACAAATTTACAGGAAAGCTTCCTTACATTATGAGGTGCCACTGACATGAATCACTGGAAAATTGAACGATGTAATTGGGTGCATATTTGAATTTCATGATTTCTGCTAACTTTCTTTTATTTGGCCTCAAGAGACAGCTTGTACAGTGGGGTGATAGAGCATGAAATAAGCTTCAAAATTACACCAGAATCAGCTCTCTATAGATGCTATACTTTCGGAGTTATAGTTGTTTAAATTTGCGAAGTATCATTAATCAGCTCAAAGTTTGTTAACATGAATCTTCCAAATTAAGAGGCTTTGACCAAAAATTTTTCCAGTTCCTACCGTTACATGTCTCAATCATTTCCTCAGTTTGAAAAAAATCTGTGCAGTCAAGGGACATTCTTGGTTGATTTGACATAAAAAGACTCTTTCTTAGTTCAGTGGTTAAGCATGCTTGACTTGAGATCAAAAGGGCCTGAGTTCGAGTCCTAGCCATGGCATTTGCAATTTGTTCTTAGGCAAAAACACTTCACTCCCACAGTGCCTCACTTCACCCAGAATAATTGGGTACCAGCTAATGGTCAGGGAAACCTCACCAAGAACTGGGGGGTAACCTGCGATGGACTGGCATCCAATCCAGGAGAGGCAATACTTCTCCTTGCCTCATGCTACAGAATCTGGAATTAAGCATTGGGTCTGATGGGCCACTTGCCTCGGGCCAAACATTGCCTATGCCAATTATAAAGAGAGGCCATTCCGCCTCAGTACTGGACTTGTTATGATTCTGCCTCACGTGTGCTGTTTTGTCATTGTGCTTATTACTTTTATATTTGTGCTTCTGCTTTTTCTCTCGTGCCTTACTCTCGCTTTATTTTTCAGCTTTCATTTCCGCCGTCCGAGGATTGATTCTCTCTTGCCCAAACTCCTGTGATGTCGAATGACAGCCTTGAGCATGCCCGCAACTCGTTGTCCAATCACGTTTCCTCATTCGGAATCGGCTGTGGTATTTCATTCATTACTTCCACCGGTACTTAATTCTGGGTCTCACTAAATTCTGAGTGAATGTGTTCTCTGATAGGTTAATTGCTAACCCGTACTAACCAGCACTTATTTGAGGGTGATTGTATATATTTCGTCACATAGTATTAAGCTTTATTAACTCATTAGCGTGTGTGAGCGTTTCTAGCTTTTGTAATTTCTTCCTAAGCTTTCCCTGATTAACTAGGTTTTAAGCTATTCTTTCCTTCGCTTCTCATGTGGTGTTTTTATACTTGTCACGTTTAGATTACCTTAATCTAAACCATCTAGTTTGATTGATTGTCTAAGAGTCTTGTCTCGAGTCATTATTGTTAACCCGGTTCACATGAATTTGTTTATTTATCCAATGTGTTTATGCTTCCTTCTGAGATTGCCTTCTGAGTCCCCGCCTCCTCCCGTGTGTATATCTGTGGGCAGGAGGGAAGAAATCGTCAGACGGAACTTTGTTGGCTTTGCGCTACATTATGAAATCTTAGCTCCTGTGCCTTCCCAAGCCTTGTGTTTTGCTGCGCCCACGTCTTGTCTCCCCTTTGTCTAAGTCTCCCAGTGTTTCCGTCGGTCGAGTTAGGTCAAGTTTTTGTTTTCTAGTTTAGCCACTCATTGAGTGTGTACTCCTGTTTCCCCCTGCCTTGGGCAGTGTACCTCAGTTTCTCCCATTCGTTCAGTGCATGTGCACGGTGTTTTATTTCTGGCTTGTTTGCCTACCTTTCTCCTTTAGTGTTTTGTGTGTTTACAATAAAGACTTTTGTTCCTGCATCTGGTGTCCCCCCGACTACTTCCTGACAGGACTTCCTTGCCTTAGCCCAAGCTACATTATGTTCAAGACGCTGGGAAGAAATTTCAGTTGTAAACAAGCAGTTGTCTCTCCCCTCGATCCTAAACTTTCACTTGGGAGTGTGTTAGTTTGAAATTTCTTTGAAACTAACATAGAATAATTTCCAAGCCATTTCAACATCATCAATGAAACTCATGGTCTTCCAGCAAATTCCCTCCCAATTCCAGTCAGAAATTTACTGGAGCGAATTGTGAAATTTAAAAAAAAACAAAACAAATTTTGTTGGTTTTTTTTTCAGTGACCTTGACCTTGGTCTTCATCCAAATAGGTTCAGAAATTAATCAGGTTATCCTTGGACCACTGCACACCTTTCCTTAAAATTTCATCGGATTTGATTAAACAGTTTTTGTGTTAGGCTGCTGACTGACAGACAGAGGCAAACAGACAGATGAATTAAATTGCTCAGAGAGTGTAGTGTTAGAGATTTTGTGCCACCTGTACTCCTGAGTGACAAGGATGTTGTTTTACAGATTGTGTTCCACATCTTCTCCTTAATTACAAAAGTGTTGTGGTAGAGATTGTGTTCCACCCCTTCTCCTGAATTACAGAAGTGATGTGGTAGAGATTGTGTTCCACCCCTTCTTAATTACAGAAGTGTTGTGGTAGAGATTGTGTTCCACCCCTTCTCCTTAATTACAGAAGTGTTGTGGTAGAGATTGTGTTCCACCCCTTCTCCTGAGCTACAGAAGTAATGTGGTAGAGATTGTGTTCCACCCCTTCTCCTGAGTTACAGAAGTGATGTGGTAGAGATTGTGTTCCACCCCTTCTCCTGAGTTACAGAAGTGATGTGGTAGAGATTGTGTTCCACCCCTTCTCCTCAGTTGCAGCAGTGTTGTGGTAGAGATTGTGTTCCACCCCTTCTCCTTAATTACAGAAGTGTTGTGGTAGAGATTCTGTTCCACCCCTTCTCCTTGAAGGGGACCTATTATGCTGATCCTTCTTTTAATACATATTAGTAATGTTATAATGTTGGTTGTCCATACTCAACCTCTGAAAAGTTTCTAAACATAAGATACAGAGGTTTTGCCGTAATCCAAGAACGTGATTTCGTAAACGTGATTTCCTCTCTGAACAGCTCCTCCCGAGATCTTCGCGAGATCCGGGCAAAACCTGACGTCAGGTTGTGCCGTCCAATTAGTACACACCTAGCCAGAGCCAATCACGACGCTGGACCTGCCCACACCGGAAACTATTCTAGCAGGCACTAACAACAGCAGATCATAATATGCCTATGTATCGTCTACACTTTCGGAAATACAAAAGAAGAACCACAGATCATTTGAGGTGCAGTTTTGTCAGTATCTCTCCCAAAGCTGCTTGTCCGTTTACTTTTGGACGAGAAGAAAATTTCGTCTCCCTATAGAAATTGTTGTGGCTACTAAAACGCCGAAAAAGGCGGAGATTAAATAGGAAATTCTTTCCTGTAGAAGTGATCATTCGCTAGCTCCACATAAGCAACTTGTCCACGCTAACGGAACTTACGGTCTGTAAAACCTGTATTATGTTCATAACATAACCGAGCTGTCGCGAACTATCCATAAAGCTGCTTTCACATTGGACGCGTAATGAATTTTTCGCGGGACAGATTACATTCAAAGTCAAAGCAAAGACGCGAATACACGCATTATGGGCACGTTAAGCAGCTTTCATGCCGGACGCGAAACTAATTTTTCGCGCAACAGATTACATTCAAAGTCAATGCAAAGACGCGAATACACACGTTATGAGCGTTAAGCAGCTTTCACACTGGACGCAAAACTAATTTTTCGCGCGACAGATTACATTCAAAGTCAATGCAAAGACAATGCATTGACTTTGAATGTAATCTGTCGCGTGAAAAATTCGTTTCGCGTCCGGTGTGAAAGCGGCTTATCGAGCCCATTTTCCGCGAGCAAACGTTGGTCATTCCGACGCAATAAGTAAACCATTACCACAGGCAATTTCTGAAAAGGCCGTTTAGCCTGGAGCTTTCGCCCCTTCGTCATATACCAGCGCAGAAGCTGTTCGTTACTCCACGCTAACAACACACCACAGCTATGCACACGAACCAGCAGGTCCTTATAATACACACCGAAGCAGTCCATAAGTTGTTGGTCCACTTTTTGCTGCTTCTTACTGTCCATGTTTCCCTCTAAACTCAGACCCACCGGATTTCTACGGTCTCCGGTCACACTTCGGTATGTGTTCCACCCCTTCTCCTGAGTTACTGAAGTGTTGTGGTAGAGATTGTGTTCCACCCCTTCTCCTGAGTTACTGAAGTGTTGTGGTAGAGATTGTGTTCCACCCCTTCTCCTGAGTTACAGAAGTGTTGTGGTAGAGATTGTGTTCCACCCCTTCTCCTTAATTACAGAAGTGTTGTGGCAGAGATTGTGTTCCACCCCTTCTCCTAAATTACAGAAGTGTTGTGGTAGAGATTGTGTTCCACCCCTTCTCCTGAGTTACAGAAGTGATGTGGTAGAGATTGTGTTCCACCAGCACTGTGCTCAACTTTTAATGTACTCATCTATCATTTATTCCTATTTCATGTTCCCATCTTTAAATGAAGTAGTATTTCACGTGCTCATCTTTTAATGTCCTCATCATTCAAGTGCTTGTCTTTTGATGTTCACATCTTTTAACGGACTCATATATTAATATGCTCATCTTTCATGTGGCCATCTTTCAATGTAATCATCTTTTAATGTGCTCATATTTCATGTGCTCATCTTTTAATGTGCTCATCCTTCATGTGCTCATCTTTTACTGTGCTCATATTTCATGTGCTCATCTTTTAATGTGCTCATCCTTCATGTGCTCGTCTTTTAATGTACTCAGCCTTCATCTGCTCATGTTTTAATGTACCCATCTTTTAACATGCACGTTACATTTGCTCATATTTAAGTGTTCTCATCCTCCATGGGGGAAAAATTTAATTGCGCTTATTGTTCGTGTGCTTAATCCTTGTATGCTCATTGTGCCCATGTTCACCTTTCTCTAAAATTCCCACTAGAATGTGATGCAGGCTGGTGTAGCAGTATCTCTGGGCTTAGTTAAGGACACTCTTGGAATAAAGTCCCCACTCAGCTAAGGACACTGTTGGGTAAATAGTCGATATTCAGCTGAGGACACTTAGGGGTAAAAAGTTTCCGCTCAGCTAAGAACACTGTGGGGTAAACAGTCCCCATCAGCTAAGGACACTATTGGGATGAACAGTCTCTTCTCAGCTATGGACACTTTAATGTAAACAATCTCTAACAAGCTTAGGACAGAGTTGGGTAAGCAGTTCTACTCAGCTGTGTACGTAAGCAGTTCCTACTGAGCTGAGTACACTGTCAGGCAAACAGTCGCTACTAAACTAAGGACACTATTGGGTAAACAATAGTTCTTCACTGTTCAGCTAAGAACACTGAAGGGTAAACAGTTTCTACTTAGCTCGGGACACTGTTGGGTACACAGTCTCAACTCAATGAAGCACACCGTGGCAGTAAACAGTTTCTACGCAGCTAAGGACACCGTTAGGTGCACAGTCTCTCACGAGCAAAGGACCCGGGCAGAGGAACTTCAAAATCAGTTCTAAAATGGTACCCAATTTTGTGCATGATGGGAGATTTGAGAGCACTGATTTTCTCCTGGTTAACATTCTCAAAG